TGTCTGTTATTATGTAGCTGCTAAGTATGTCAGATAAAAACATTAATTGGGCTACAATAGAGTACGTAACACATTCTGTGTTTATTCCAATTCGGTTATATTTTACAGCAATCTTGTGAAAAAAAAGAATTCAGAATGAAAAGGTAGGCCAGCATAAATCAAGAAAATGCCGTTTACGTTTTTGAATGAGATCAATACATCACGTAAAACCAGCAGCAAAAATAAAAATGTAGTGCTCAAAAGGTTGGAAATTATAAGGAAAAATTAAGATTGTTCACTGTAAGATGATAGTAGTAGACTTATCAACTGGTCAATTATTTTCATGTACTTATCACCTCAAATAAACCATATTCCTAAATCCAAACCCTAAGAATTAGCTATTTAATCCGGTGAAGTATGTTTACACTTTGTGATGTCATTTTGCTCTGTTCTAGACCATACTGATGGATAATAACTGGCTAAAAAATCCCAATTGTTTTAAGCTCGCCCTTTGATTTCTTATAGCAGTGTTGAAAAGGCCTTGTAAAGCTTGAAAAGGGGGAAGCAGGAGGTCCTAATGAGTTAATCCCGGAGATCATTAGGTATAGTAATTCAAGTTGGCTGTGATTTTAGACAGAGCCTGGGAACTGGACGTAATCCTACCTAAATGGTCTCGATCGCTAATCATTGTTCACTGTATAAGGAAGTACAAGTCTTCTTGTGATAATTATAGAGGAATCAGTTTGATTAATATAGTGTCTAGAATATTGGCCTTAATAATCTGACGGTTAACTAGGGCTCGCCTAATAAACTAGGACTGATCCAGGCTTCATAAGTGGTTACCGTACGGAAACTGCAACTATTGTTAGAGAAGTTAGGTGACTGCTTAGAATCGTTTACAATACTGCAAATTCATTCGGACTTTATCTTATTCTGCTCAGTTCTTCATGTCCTTGAGCTATACCTTTTTGAATCGTAGTTTCAGTTTTCGGCTTTTCTTCGCTCCTTCATTTTCTCGATTCGTTTGTTATTCACTGACTCATGTTAATGCGCTATGGTAATATGAGGTAATCCACGTTTGTGCCGGGCTTTACATTAATTATTACTGACTCGTGATATTCCGAATACTCGGTCAAAACATCACAACCACTTGTAATGAAGAAGTCATACTTCCTGCGTTTGTAAATTACTTATACGAGGTTAAGACTGAAACGCAAAGCTGCGGTACGCCTCTTTTCGCACAGTATGTTGAAATACGTAGAAATTAATTATCGATCTTTTAAAGGAAAATAGGGAGCATTAGACTTAGTACGTTGTCATTTTAACGTTTAAATTCAAGCTAAATGGTTGTTTCTTATATACATATTCATTACTAATTAAATTATTTAAGAAAAACATGAAGAGTCATCTTAGAAATCCTATTGCAACCCCAATTATTTGAATATATAAATAAATCATTGTGTATATGTATTGACAATGTCGGACAATTTTTCTATTTCGTTAGGCCTGATTTAACTAAAGCAGCATATCTTATAAAGCCAATGTTCTAATCAATTAATGATGTCAATTCTTCGTATTTGGATGAAGTAGTTTCATAACACCTGAAATCACAGTTAAATCTGTCACATGTTGTCTCACTCCCACTAAACCGCTTTATTCTTTTTGTGACTTTGTTATTTAATGTTTATAATGCTTAAATGTTCATTTCATTTAGCTTCTCAGAATGTTCTGTTAGAGTCGGATATTTTATACACTCAAAAATATTTCTATGCACTATGTAGATTAGTAGTACCGCTTTATTTCAGTAAAACTTAATATTTACGCAAGTGTAAACTTTTAACTTGAGAACGAAAAGCATATTCATGTACAGTATACCGCATTTCTTAAGGTTAGTATTTTAGAAACAGTTTTCTGGATTAGCTTTAAAGACTTTTAGATTTTGCCAATATTTTTCCCCCGTTAGCTTTTTATTTTAAAGATGAACATACAAAGCCATTTCGTAGTGAATATAGACAGTCATTCGATTTTGTTTCTTAATTTTCAGAGATAATCTTACTGAAGAACAAAACCGTCTGTTGCATATGTTGCATGACTCTAATGGTTGCACATTAAAACCTTCCGATTGGCGCATTCATCTAACTACAGAAGATGAAATTGTGGTTGTATCAGTTGGACATTAACTCAATAAACTTTACTTTTCAACTCTCTAAACAGTCTTTCACCTAACTATCGTTATGTTTGCACACTTACTGTAAATACATTTTCCCCAAACTACGCATTTTTTTTTAAAATTTCACTCAAAATCTTACAAATACTTGTAGAACTTAGTTCATCTTAAAACTTCTCAGAATTCACTTTTAAAGTGTATGAAATTTCGTAATGTTTTCGACCCACGTAGAATTTACTTTATACTACCTAGTTATTGATTTTATTTCCGCTGTGCACATACTCATATTTAATAAGCAATTAATAACTTATCATGCTTCATGGCATCCAAATAATCGTAAACTTTATTCCCACAGTCTAGCATTTCGTAATAATGTTTATTGTAACATATAGACCACCCTGACTAACCTTAGTCATCAGCGCCCCGAAAACGTGCTACAAGAGTAATGTTAACTGGAAACTGAGTGTAAATTGTCTTCTGCCCCAACCATAAATGAAGTAATCAAAGACTTTTAAATCAAACTATATTATAGAGTTTAAGAACTTACATACTAGCGCTTGTAATTCCATTTGTATATTGTGATGAGGGCATAGTTCCTCTAGGTACTTGACTGTACAACGGCTGTTCATATTGACCTATCCCATAGTATGCAGTATTGATACGTTTATCTAATTGATATCGAGGCGGATTCATGGGCGAACTATAAAGTCTTGGATCTGGTGGTACTGGACTAGGATACAAATATTGGTTTTGTCTCATATCACCGGAATAAAGTGATTGACCTGCACTTTCAACTACTGCGACATCTTGCGGACTCCCGAGAATACCGCCATTGCTCCCGATAACTCCATCATCCGGGCCACCAACAATAGAAGAGTCTGAGTACTGTGGGTTCTGAGCAATTGTCCTAGGCGTGATTTCCATTTCGTCATCAGAAACAGTGTTTGTTGCAGTTGGTTGGATTTGTTGGTCACTAGGATATGTGATAGCTGTGTGACTTTGTACAGGTTGTTGTTCAACTAAATATGTTGGTTGTTTGGGATCAGAATTCATGGTTGGTTGCACAAATAGTGGATAGGACGGTACATCAGACTGAAAAGTGGAGTAACGGTTGATGTATTTTGTTTTAGGACCCGGGAGATTCGTTTGCTGATCCTGCCGTGCCATCGCATATGGTGAACGTTCTGAGACTGGATAGGATACGAGATACGTATTGCCTCTCCATGAATTTGAATTGGATGCCACAGCTGTTTCACTAATCTGTATGGTGGAAATAATCATAACGACAAGTAGGGTTCGTTTTAAACTGATCATTGCTGCTAAGCTAAATGCACTGCCGGTAGTAATCATATTTATAAATGATGTTTGACCATGTTTTAAATGTATTTGAGTTGGGTTCAGCTTGAATACAGCCAATCAAATCATAGATATGATTGAGTGAGCATAACTCATTCATCAATTTTTTAGTCTCATAAACAGACAGTACAAAAATTACTACCTTAAGTTAATGTGCCTTTTTATGGGAAAATGAATTTCATAAATCTTTAATGTACAGAAGCACGATGATTACTTATCAGTTATTGATTAATAATCAGGAGTATTATTATCAGAATGGGTTTTGTGGAGATTTTTAGAAATTTCACAAGTTGAAATCATGGGCCAATTAAAGATAGACCACCATGGAAAACCTGGGAGCACTGGACGGCCGTTTCGTCCCAGTATGGGACTCCTCAGCAGTGCGCATCCACAAACCCGCTTCCGCGGGATTCGAACCCAGGACCTACTGGCTTCGCGCGCGAGCACTTAACCATTAAACCACTGAGCCGGCATCCAACGGTGTTAATGTCTAACTTCAACCAATCCACGAAGTTGCGCCACCGTACACCATTGTCTTCAATGAGTTCTTATCTCACAACAGACCTGGTTGAGCTCCACTGGTAACGACTTCTCACTAGAACTGGATTGTCTAACTTAAGTGAAACTATCATAAGAAAGAAAACGATGGACAAAGTTTGTTATTTTGTTTCTAAGTTTTAATGATATAAATAGAACATACGAAATGAAAAATAATGAATGAGTAAAATGACCCAATAAATTTAGGGATGAATGTGACAAAGAGCTTCTGAAGAGAGCGATCGATTTTGAAATAATGCGTTCGACGCTTTTACAAGGTTATGAAATAATTAAGATTCAGCTAATGAAGACTATATATATATATATATATATATATATAAAGTGAGTGGTGAGACAAAATTGTCATATGATCCAACAATACAACAAAAATAGCAATCACAGTTGTTAATGTAAATTAACCAAGAGGAGGAATCGTGTTCCTTTGAACAAGTGAATATCTGATGGATATAGAGTGGTGACCAACAACACGAATTGTGTAAGACATCACAAACAAGAACTCCGTATGATGCTAGAAAATAATAACTCAAATATAAACATCTTGATAACGCAACAGAAAATACAATAAGAAGTTCAAAATCCACAGTCAATACAAAAACAACGGTTACAGTGACGATTAGTCACAAGCATACAGAAACGTAAGTCCCTACATCGTACATGTTATTACGTCAGATATATATATATATATATATATATATATATATATATATATATATATATATTAAGGAGGAAAACCGAAGAACGAAAATATAAACATAATGTTCACTCGCCCTCAATATGAAAGTAGAATATCGTTCATCATTGTTTTTAGCACATGGGTTAAAGTGAGAGAGAACACAGTTACGAAATCTTGTAGGCCCCGAAATACTAAGTCAACAAAGTTACCTGAGAGCAATCAAATAGGGAAATAAGGAAGGGTCAATTGCTGCAATAATAGTCTTCTTTAGAATGGCAAACCCCAGCGTTTGTCCTTTTTCTCGTATTTGGCAGCGAGAATAGCAGCAGAACGACCAAATCCTTTAGCTTGATCAGCCATCTCTTGCGTTTGTAGGTCTAATTGCTGTAACCGCTCACCACGCTCGATAGCAGCATTTCTAGCTCGTGCAATTTCAGAAGAGGCAGCACCAGTTTGACCAGATAACTTTTCCAAACGAGCATTTGGTAGCAGAGTAGTAGCGCCAGGTGTCCCCTTCCCCGAACTTGCTTCACCAACTAAAGCAAGAACAAACTAGAGAATGAGAATTTCTGTGTATTTGTTACACGATATAAACCACCTAAATCCACTGGTGTTGATTTGCGACTACTGTGTTGAGCATTATAAAATCTCACTACAATGACTATCAATGAAAATGAGAAGTTTGGTTCGAAGACAATAGTCTAAGTAAAATGCAGCTTGACAAAGTGCGGCTGCATACGGAATTTGCATGGCTTATGTTTACCATGCTCCAATATATTAAAAAAAGTCAAAATATGTTTCAATAATTACATAACAACGATGATTAAGAGAACAGTAAAGGCGATTAGTAATCGTAATTTACAGCCAACAAACCTAGATAGTGTTTCGTTGCTTATCTTTGTTGTGTGCTCAGTGAACACTGAGTTTGAACATCTTTAATAAGTAACCGCCCGACCGCAGCTGCTACCTTGACTTGATGGCATACCTTAGCGATAACTCAACTAGACTATATTGCTTGGAATAAATATTCCTTTAGGCCCTACTATGCCAGGTAGGTCGGTTGGGGAGCTTACTTGTACCTGTTACCCCTCGTCAAGGAGCATAGGCCGCTCACCAGCATCCTCCATCTAACTCCGTGCTGGACAATCCTTCCCAGTTGCTATTCATCTTTCTCATGTTTGCTTCCGGTTCCCGACGTAGTGTGTTCTTCGACCTCCCTCTTTACCGGTTCCCTTCAAGATTCCGAGTTGGCGCTTGCCTTGTGATGCAGTTTGGTGATTTCCACTTGCAGTGTCTTTTCCCAATTTCCTCAACCGGAACCTAGTTTATTCTCTCCCACAGTAGGTTGTTGCTGATGGTTTCTGGCCGATTGAAATTGAGTATCTTGCGTACACGACGGTTGGAGAACGGTAAGACTAGAAGCAGAAACTTAGGGCCACAGGGCGAAGTTGTACTGCTGACTGTAGTGAAGTGTAACAGTAGTAAGGTGTTTCACTCAGGCAACCAGCATCTTTAGCGATGCTCTCTTCTTGTAACGACCTGTCATTCCTCAAATCCTGAGATTCTAAATTGCTCATAAATCTTTGTGTGTCTTATTCCATTTATTTGTATTTTCTTTTGGAGTCGTGTCTTCGGTGCTTAATCTTTTTTATTACCACTCGGTGTTCGAAATTCTACTAAACATACAGTTGTTGATTATTTCCAACTTGCAGACTTACTGTCAGCTTAACTGAAACCACTTTCATCTCGAGCATAGCCACTATATTTACTATTGTAATCTGATTTACTCCAGAATATTTATATATGCAGAAATTAGTTCAAGCTTGATTTTGCACTTTCTATGACTGGTAAAAGCTGCCACAAAATGAACAGTACTGATAAAAGCATTTTCTTCCTACTGAAGACAAATTGCTTGTCTAAATATTTCTTACGATAGTTATCCGATTATATACTTTTACTAGGCTTACACGCGACCTTTTTTAGTTAAATGACATATGGTAGATGTCACTTTAAGTGTGCAAATACCAATTTTACTGAGCCAAAAAATATAACAGTCGAAGGTAATCTGAGTTGATTCATTAACTCTTTCAACTATTCAATCTGATACTCTTACCACGATCGAAATGGTTAACTCTTAGTTATAAAATCAAATTGAAGATGAGAAAATTGGCACACACAAATCTTTAATTAGTCCTGACTACGTAAACATTTTATTACTACTGCTTAAACGCTGACGAAAGTGTTCCAAGAATGAGAAACTGACTGAAATGTCAGACAAAATTTAAATGACCCATTTAATTTTAAGTGATAGGCGAAACCCTTGTTTGATGCAAAAACTTGGGAAATGATAGTGTCACAACGGTGCGATCAATTGATAAAATTATTGGAGTAACTAAACCCTAACCGGGTTCACTTCAGAAAACTAAACTGCTAGAGAAAATTAGGGAATCAAAACTGCTTTCAACCCAGATAGTATGACTCATTTCACAATAAATGGCTAATGGAGAATGCAAAATGTAGTAAGGGAAGGAATAATTTACTAGTTTTCCCTGTTATATCCTAATTGAGATAAACATATCATTCATTTTCCAACTTAAAACTTTTTCGTAGCATATATACATATAAATGCAGTTATCGTATCAAATGTAATCTACAGATAAACAAGGCTTCTATTTACCAATTTGGCACGCCTAAGCAAACTTGTCAACATTAATTTCGCAAAAGTTAGTCAGAAGACGTTCGTTAAAAGCATTCAGTATATATATATATATATATATATATATATATATATATATATATATATATATATATAATGGTAACTCAAATTTACTTCATCTCAATAAAGAAATCATCTTCAATTTACAACCTGAATAATTTGAATACACTTTAAGGCAACTACAATCATTTATTTGAGTTAAGTTATGATTTTAGGTTTTGCTAACTTCACTCTATATCCAGTGTAACCCGAAGTTTTCACTTAGTTTCACTGAACGAATCTGACCTAAAACCTATTGTATGAGTTCGTAAATATGATACGAAACAAAATGATCACTCTAAATATTAGTGACGAAAGACATTGAGATTGTCGATAAAGTCTCACTATGCCAAAAGATGTACTACTCATAAACTGAAAGTAGAATAACTCATTGTAAACAAAAGAAAGTTGACTGATTATGGAAAGCAATCTGAAATAAGAGCAGGCTAAATAATTATCAGTGGTTTACGAAAAGAATAGTATGAACGGTATATGAAATAAAATTATGAGAATTCAGCAAAAGAACTGTGACAGGAAGTAGTAATATGGTCAAACTTACACAATTCATCTCGATCTAATGAAGATACCAAAGTTCCACTTAACAAATTTTTGAAAAAGTTTTTCTTAGGAGGTTCTGGCATATTACTTGGTAGAAATATCTCACCTTGCATATCACGTAAATTCGCACTGTAAGTCAAAAAATAGAGCAAGATATGAAAAATATTTACGGCAAACTGTTCTAAGGAAACATTTGTAAAAGAATATTTTTAGTATTTGGAATTATGTAGCCTTTAAAGTGAAACTAGTACGTTAATTTAATGTTTCACTTATCACTCAGGACCATAAACCAAGGACTTGAATGTAGCCAGGAATATATTTGATAATCAATAGTGACAAAGGGAATATTTTACCATTTACTCAAAACTTAAAGTCGCCTCTATTGTGCAGCTTTAAAAAACCCAACCGTATTGTTAAATATTGAGTAATAGCCAGTTGGAAAAACCCATTGACATTAACAATTCATAGCCAAAAAGAATCCTACCTCTTGTTACCTGGTTTGCTCAGTCATTTAATAATAACAATATATTTTGTGTTAAAAAAACCTTGTAATCATGATAATTATTAAAATCAATAGTCATAACATTCAGCTTTTTAAATGTGTGGGTGTAAGGAGTGCGCAGCCAATTAAAATTAAACTGTACTGACAACTAGTTTTTGAAGACGAACAATATGATCATAAGAATTTGACAATAGAATATGAAGCTTTTGGGTATCTGACTTGACAAGTCTACTCAATTAGTAACACTCAACCAATGTATTTATTCTAGGTAAATGGTTTCCAAATTAAAATGAGAATGTCAAAAGTGATAGTGTCTCTCAACCAATAAGTGGATAAGGAAGTTTCGCATTAATGAGCCGAAAAACGTGATTTCAGAGCAGTAGTTGACATTAAACTCCACCATTCTGAATGAACTGGCGAATGATAAGATGCATCCTATGAAATCAGTAGTTTTTTACGGGTTAGAAATCTAAGTCAAAAGTTTAACAAATGGGGCTCAGAGACAGAAACCTAGATAAAAATTATAGTCTTAATACACATCATGATATCAAAAATGAATAGTAAGGACCGTTAGCTTTGCAGTTATATTGGGTTACAGAATATTATTACCTCATTATAAATCACCATAAACTGTTGAGCTAGTTGGGTTTTATGGAGTTTCCACTTATATTTATATATATTCAATTGCTGTGAAAATAAGCACAACTGAAGAGACTAAAAACATACATAAATTCACATGTCATAAAACATGACAAAATTATTCATAATGATGAGAAACATTAATGAATACAAAAAAAAACAGGAATTACCAAACATCTGATGCCCAGGTGATTTTAGCTAATTCTGAGGGCGACACCAAATACACAGATTGACCATACTGACCAAATGCAAACGAACGGCTTACACATTCTGTATACGGTAAATAATCCACATCCATTAGTAAACGTAAACTCGGTAATGAGAAGGCAACAAAATGTCCATTTGCAAGATAACATGCGAGGAAACTAGCCGTTGATGTTCCGCTATTATGCGATGGTCTCAAACGTTGTACGGAAGCACGTACCACTTGACTTGTTTCAGTTATTTTTACCTGTATAAAAAAAGATTAAAATAGTATCCAAAAGGAATGAAGTTAGTGGACCTAGTTTAAAACTAAACATGATGGAATTCTATCTGCAACAAATAAGAGTAGTTTTACCTTATAAAGACAATTTTGTGAAGGAAGTGCAACTACTCGAGCTTGCTTTTCTGAACAAAGGACAACCAGCTGTCGGTCACACTCGATAAAACCTTTGGATGTTGTAGGAGAATCAAGTCCAGTTGTACCACTTGATTGAAATGTACTGACACCACCGCTCATAGTATTGGAAAGTATAGTACCTGAAGAAAGTATAAAACAAACCAAAAATGATGACTTGCAGAATTTCAGTATTATGCAACAAGACGCTAAACATACTTCACGTAGACACATAAAATAAGGTGAACTTTCTTTAAAGTACCCTTTTAGTATCCTGAGTGCATCGTTATAGTGATTGACACTTTCGTCTCAATCAGGAGACGAATCTCAATTTTCGTTGTAAAAATAAGTGGTAATTGGTTCAGTTTAGGGTGAAATTTCGGAACCATGAAAAACCATAGGAGTTATTGTAAAGCCGTTTCGTCCTAGTTTGTGATGCCTCAGGTTCTATAGGTTTACATGGTATAGAATCCAAAATCTTTATGACTCATGACAAACATAATAACATAGACAAACTAGGTTGGAACATTTATCCATACTTTGTCCAAGGTTCAGATAGTTATCAATTACTTGACAGGAAGTCAGTGAACGCTAGCTAATTATGAAATTTGGAATTCACAGAGAAAGAACAATAAAAAACTAGTAATTTTAATATAAATTAAGATCAAATTTTCTAAACTGATAATATATAACTCCTTTACAACTAAATATAGGCCGAAAATAACCAATCAACACTACATTTGAATTTAAGAGATGTTGCGAGAAGTAAAAAACAGATTCTTTAATGAATGCAATTTGCGTAATAATAAAATAGTAGCTATACTAAACAATCAGTTGATTGGAGCTTAGAATATCTATCACCCAAACCAATATTAATTATGAAAACACTGGAATCTTTGATGTGTAAACTATCGGCGTACAGTTGTGGCTAAATAAGTGTGGTGAGACAGGTTTGGGGAATGTACTTAGTAACCTTACCACTCATTCAACTGATGTGGATTTATAGTTTTATAGAGTCATCTTGAAATTAATAAATAGGCGGTTAGAAATTAAAATCTTAATTTGATATATTAAGATAAACTAGATAAATGTCTAAATTTATCTTACGATGAAAAATGGTTGTCAAGAGACCGGTCAACTGTTCTAGCAAAAATGCACATTGTCAGTCAATTATTATTAATAGGAACAAAACATAGACGTTGAAAAGGAATGCTATCCCATGACTGAGATTGATATGAGAAATAAGTCCGAAACACAAATATAAAATATGCAACAATTAGTGTTATAAGATATAGAAACGACGATATTTGTGTGCTTACTAGAGTGACTCGATGTTGATGTTGAAGACGTATGTGTGGTGACTGTATTTTGTCGAATAACTGACTCTTTCAATGCTCGAACACTGCCACCACCACCACAAGACTTGAAACCAGTATCAGTTGAACTATATGCGTCAGCATTAGTATACATAGAAGTTCCTTCAGAACATATGGATGAACAAGATATAAGAGATGCTTGTTTCGAAAGTTCAGAGGCAGCACCCCCTTTGAAAATAAATGAATCATCCCAACGCTCAGAAGGACTCGGTAAAATATCACCGGTATTATCCAACAGGCTAATGTGAATAATATCTCCACGTAAACGATACAAAGAAGCTAAAATAAAGAGTATAAATAAATAAGTAGAAATTTCTAGAGTATTTATTGCGATTAGTCTTAAAAATCCGCAATATTTCTGAACGGGTGTGGTAACAGGCCTGTGACAACACGCATTAAGCATCTTTGTAATTTATACATTACAGATATAATATATATATATATATATATATATATATATATATATAAATTTCGACCTCTATGTGTTTGCTTAAAAGAAGCACATATACGCGCACATTATTGGCAAAGAGTAGACAGAAATGAAAAGATTGGAGAAATGTGTATTACTGGAGCCTTCGAGGAATTATTCCATTTAGAAAGACTAATCAACACAGAATATTAAATTCAGATGGTTAGATTTTTAACATAGGCTTACTAGTTGATAAAATTGTAGCAGATTTTCAATGACCATATATTTCGATGTTAGTTAACATAGGATCACAGTTAAAATCCTATTGAGAAATGTATATAATTGTAATTTTTAAATTGACTTTTCAAGTAAACGAAAATGTCTTAAATGGACATTGTCGAGCTGGACCCAGTATATTTGCTAAAAGCATTCAACATCATTCCACTTTAGTCCTTTTTATGCCTGGAACCGAGTTTTTCCGTTAAAAAATTAAAATAATACATCAATTTGATGAGTGGTAAGTGATTACAGACAGTTATTTAAAAAAAAGTATATTCCAATTATTAATACTTTTATTAAAATCTGATAATCATATTTTCCAGTCTGTAAAATGTTTATCTAGTTGATGTGTCAGTGAGAACTACGAATTTCAGACACATGAACGTTCATGTTTTCTAAATGAAAAATAGAAACCTAACTAAGACTTGTTTGACAGAATGTAAGATAGAGGTATATTTGATTCACATTTTGACAAAATTAGTCTATCGAGCTACTGAAATAATTCTTTAACAAGATAAATTTAATCGATAAATTCAGTCCTCTGGTTTTAGCTGAAAGAAGGGAAGAATCGTTCAGAAATCATGACAAATATTGCTGACTGGTTTTTGGATCGGATTAAGATTACGTATTTCCCATCGAAAACCGTGGTGTCACACTTTATTATTAATTATCACATACAGAAGTTGGTTACAAATATTCATGTTAAACATTTGTATTTTATGGACAGTAAAAAGACCAAAGTATCCAGATGAAAATATTTATACTATATATTCGTGGATCTGCACAGCTGAGTCCCATACTAGGACGAAACGACCGTCCAATGCCTACAGGTTTTCCATGGTGGTCTAGCTTGAATCAGTTCATGAATTGAAGTGTTAAATAAAATATAACAAAGTTTATTTAAGAGTTGCTAGATTGGACTACAATTTAGTTAATTTGCCCGATGTCTCAATAAAATACTGTTACAAGCTTATGGATTAATTAAAATTCAAGCATTGGATGAATGGACAAGCAACTGAAAACACAGTAATTTAAATATTAAGTATTTAATACTCTCATATTAGTTTCGGATAAACAGAAAGTAGCGAGACATTCCAAAATACAATACAAATTTAGTGATTAAACAAGAGCAGTCAATATATACTTGGGTATTCTATAATAAAACTATTTCATCATGAGAAAAAAGACCGATGTCTTAATAAAACGAATAAGTTAGATAGCTAGTTTTGCTAGCTTGCCAATACAAATGAACTTTCTATACTTCAATTCAGAAAGATTTCAAGCTCAATAATATATGTGTATACATAACATTGCTTTTGTGTGTGCAGATTGATGACGAAAATCAATATTAACATTGAGCATAAATGCAAGATAGATTCTACTAATCAAGTAAAATTGACAGTTATTTAAAAAGTAATCAACTTGCATACAGAGATATAGGATAGATATACAAACATGCATACCAATATGACATACAGACATATAAGAGATGCACATGCCATTTAAGCTGGTACATAGTTATTTGAAAGAAAATCAATAAAACAGTTCAGGATTTAGGTAATTAGTTAAGTGAGATAAATGTCCAATATTCCTTGTCGTTTATTCACTCACCATACTTTTCTACTTTATCTGGTGACGTGAACAGAGTAACCTTTTTCACACAAGTGGACAGAGCAAGAAAGTAGCTCGGATAATGTGAATGATCTCATTATTAATGCATTGATACATACATCTACTTTAAATTTCAATACGAAGTTTATCACAGGATGTTTTAATTACCATGGAATAAGCTGGAATACCGGCAGTTGTCAGTCATGCAATGGTGAATTCTCAGCGTCAATTAACATACACTGCTGGCCACAGTGGGTTTGTATCTCAACAATGAATGGTAATATACTTGATCTGATATTTTGTAGAGATATCATCCTACTGTCTACACAAGTATACAATCAATTTGAAAGTAGTGACAATAACATAGTAGTTGGTGCTCTCCCTATTTGTCTTTTTTATAACAAACCCATACGGAAAACCAATTCATATAGAGACTATAGGGATGCTGACTGGGACCTTCTGTACTCCCCGGCAAGATTCTCAAACTGGGATACCTTCTACTTAAGCAATAGTCTTGTAGATGCCATTGACACATTCTATCTGATCACTATCTCTTGTTTATATTCCTGCACACCTCTTGAAACGTACAGGTTTAGTAAACCTAAAGAATTATTTATACCAGCTAAATATTGTAACAAATTGACACCTACAGAAATGTTTTTTAAGTCAAACGACTTCACGTCAGTTGCACAAATAAGTATATTTTTCAACCAAATCAAAGAAAAATATTAATGAAGAGTTGTTAGCATTTCATAATGGCTCAAAAGTAGAAAATTTAATTTTTCTTTTCTATAGACACTGCTATCCTTTGCTACATCGATGCTTACTTCTCTGAAAATGTTATAAACGACCTTACACCTGTTATTGTATCTTATTCCAGAAGTGAGATTATAGGACCTTTAAATGTTTAGTTGTTTTTATTACTGAATATACTAAGTAAACCTACCTATCTGTTGTTACTTTACATTTACAACGTAAGTGTAACTAACTAATTTGAAAAATATCTAACACGAACAGTATATCATAAAATAACCTGGCACATGCATTATGGTAGACCTAACTGACCTATCGTAGTAATTACTGCTTTCGTTGTTCAGTGCTCTCTGTTTCCATTTTAATTTTTCTAGTTATAGATAGTTATAATTAATTTGTTATGGCGCAAAGAATGACCTTAAATACATCAACAGGATGTTCACATTCAAAGAATCAACAGTTTTCAGCTGATGTCTTTCATTGTTGTAATACGTTTGAAAAATGTACTATCTAAACAATTTTTGAACGAGAAAACTTGCAACAATCTAATTTTCCATGTATTCTCTACACTTAATATTAGTATCTAAATCAAACTGATCATGCCTGTATAAACTGTCATGAATTCTGTAATTATTATTTTTAGAATATGTTATATCATTATTATGGTACTTTAACGACTAAGGATAGCTATTCTACGATTAACAGCATCATAACACTTCGTTTTCACATTACATCATAGAGATTAATCAGTATTTTCAGAACAAAAACACCAAATATCAGTTAGCTATAATTAAATCCCTTGAAACCTAAGAAGGAAATTCAAATAGATCATTTATCTAGTGTTCAGAGGACTAATATCAGGGATTATCAATTAAAATGAGTAGATGGGGTTAGTTGTTACTGAACTAAAACACAGACAAAACTATCTGTCCAAGGCTTCTTTTACAACCTAATTCCTGCGAAATATTATTTTGCATGTAAAAGAATAACGTCTCTAAATAACAGAAAGTATAATCGTGCTAACTAGATAAGGCTTTATCAGCACAGTGGGTCAATGACATATCGCTGTGAATTTCTCTACATCAAATATGCTTACTAATCACTTTTGCTTCCTCTCACCTAGTTTAACAACATGCAGATTTCTCTTTCTCATAACCTATCTCGATGTTTGCGATAAGAACTGATATGCTGTTAGATTTAATGACTCCCCTAACTAATTATGCAGATTTCTAGTCGTCCAATAGTATTACATTATTTATTATATTGTTCATTTTTTGATGTTCACTCGAAATCATTGATGGGGCTCGTAACATGTTCAATAAACCAAGTTGACTCATGACATTTTTGGCTGGAATCGATTACTAGCTGACTGATCTACGTTTCTCTTTTATCGGTATTCATTCAAAAAGTGTACCTGCAAGATATGAAGGAAGAGCTCTTTTTCTACATATATAAGAAGGTATCATTTTTGGAGCTCAAGTCAAAAATAATTAGCACTAACAACACATACATTAATATGAATAATGAAAAATTAAAATATAATGTAGCGTTATTTATCCAAATCACACACGTAAACACATATCAATGCAGAAAATTTACTATTAATAAAAAAAGGAACAGGAATTACCAATACAATATGAGTGATTGATTGGGACATTATTCAATACTCGATACTTTAGATTCAAAGCAAGGACACATCCACGAGATGTCCCGATCCAGAGATTTGGGACAAAATGTAAGTCTACATATAGGATACAGAATAATATATGAGGAAAGGTAAGATATTACGAAAAATTACTATTCTTTTCACACAAACGTTATGAATAAAACGTACCTTGTTTAGGGGATATCCATTCACTGAATAAAATTGTTTTAATTGTCTCACAGTTTAGATTATCCAATGAGCTAGAACTTGCGGTTAAACTTCCCGGATGTGAAAACTGTGAAAGATCGGAGCACTTTTCTGTGATTTTTACGCACATGAAAACAAACGAGAAAGGAATTAAGAAAAAAAGATGTAAGATTTCCAGTTCGTTCAGATATTGATATATAACATGCACCTTATTAACACAAACATGATAACAGCATTAAGGAATATCAGAAAAAAACGAAGCACATTCTTGCAAACACACCAGTTAGCAGAAAAAACAATGATACAAATATGAATATACATTACTTCAGACGCTCATATGGAATATAAGTAGTATGGACGTATATCACGTCGAAAGTGGGAAAATAATTTTTAAAATTAGTGGAAAGATGACCATAAGAATAACTTTCAGCAGGACGAACAATGAATTATCAATCCATTGATCTAAAAAATGAACAATACACATGCCTACGAAGCCAGAAAAATGTTCGATAATAAAAGTTAGTCATGTGTATATGTACATATACGGAATAAATATAACTGCTTTTACATACAACACACCTGTTTATGGAAATGAAATGTCTACGGTTACTTAAAGTGATTAAAAATAAGCTAATATTACTATATGAATAAAAAATTTTGCGTAAAATATTAGATAGTTGAAAATAGTAAAAGCATTATATAATGTGTAAAAAAATTGGACACGAACAAGATGTTAAATGACACAATATGAGTAACTGTTGAAAAGATAACACTTGTTAAAATGGTTGATCAGAAAAAACCATCCAAATACAAAAAAGAGAAATAGGCGTACAGTTATTTTACTCGCTGGATTAGAACAGAAACTCAAAGAAGTAAGAGATAGGACTTTATTACTGGTATAGCTTATCAGGAATATCCAAAGTTTTCTACCATAGACTAACTGTTAAACAGGGAATATGAACCTTCAGATTTGGAATATTCCTCAAGTTATTTGTATACGATAAACATTATGCTTCATAGGTTAGATGTTAGCTGGATGTAGACTGGATTAAAGCACATTCCGTAAAGGATTTTGTTGGGGTACAGTGATTCTTATCCGGTCACTGCTAGTGGACATTTGGAGAAGGCTCTAGAATCTTCCTATGTAAGGACAATAAGTATACTAACGTTTCTCTTATTGTGATTTCTACTTCCACTAAACCTTTTTATTTGGAATATAATTACGTTCCTGTTCAACAGTGTTCTGGTTTGGAGACCTTCCGAGTGAAGTAGTGCCCAAGAATATTAAGCAATAAGAGCAGCTGGATCGTAATAAGAGAAATGATGACAGTATCCCATCCCCGTTGCTAAGATCACCAGGAACGATAACAATACAGTTAATGAGTGTCATTATTTCATAAAGCAGTTAGTTTTTTATGATAAGTATACAGCTGAAAAAAAACTTAAAAACATCTACATTTTCTTTCCAGATTTCTAATTATTCATCGATTTAAATAATACCTGGTTGACGTAATATGACTGAAGAGTTTCCTGAATAGAACACCAAAACGCACGAGAAATCTTTAAGGCATAGCAGTGAACGAACATGAAAATTTTATACATGTGACTTTAAAAATAAATACTTATATCTCGTTCTATATAAAATGACTAGTATTTAAAATGTTATTAATAAAATTTGCACAGTAGACTTATTTTAATCATGAAGACAGTCTAAATAAAGCACCAATATCAGTGAAATCGAATGATATCTAATCCTATGTAGTCGAGTACAGCTTAATGAAGAATTACAGTGCAGTGTTAATCTAACCGTAACTTTTATTAGTTAAAATTTCAGCTCACCAACTCGAGAAAAACCCTTTGTACTTAATGCAAAAAATAACTTCGGCTACTCACAAAGGAAAACGAATAATATTATAAACCAGTCCAAATAATATTACTGTATGCTTCAATGAATATAACAAATTTTTGCCCATTCAAGAATAAATTAGCACAATTATATTGTAACCTTGATAAAGCTGATCATGCATTTTAAAATACTGAAAGAAATTATGAAGTGAAAATTTTTTAAATATCTGTTTACTCAACCTTAATGGATTTAAAATTTCAGTACGTGTAAACCAGCAAATAAAGTGATGATAAAAGAACTGATATACATATTCACATAAAAATGTAGTTAAAAAGATTCATTTGAATTATTAGGTCATTCATTGAGTACGCTAAGAAGTTCCCCAACAAAAATCTCAATATAAGATTTACGAATCGACTGGAGAAACTTTAAATCTTATATATCACGAGAATGCTTGTAATTTAACAACAACATACACACTAGCAGACACACATAAACCAACACAAAGAATACGGTAAAATCAAACAACCTGAAGAAGTGTTTTGTGCATTAGACGTTTGTCCTTGTTGACGAGATGATTGATTTGTTCGACAGGCCAAAACCACTATTATAAATGGATGTATATACAACAAATAATTCAGTTAGGCTGCTTATAATTATACTACATGTAAAAGGTTCCTCTGTTAGAAATAGTCTTTGTACAGGAAATGATAACGGTATGACTGTAAAATAAATTTATCATGCATTTTCTCTCTACTTGTGACAATATTTACTCCAATGCATACTTAATAAACAGAGAATCTATTTGAGGATATTTCAAAGGATTGGTAAAATTACAAACTAGGAGGGGAATGAACAGGCAAATCTGTCGAAGAGAAATAATGTTTAGGTTTTTGATATGTATATTAAAACAAACTACTGATTAAACTGAAGGCAGCACAATGGAGTGAACTAAGTTACTACACACATTTTAATCCAGAGACTAATCAACAAAAGATAAGGAATATGAGAAGAAAACCAAATCAAATAATTATACACCAATACACTTCAATCTTTCGGTACTGAATTTTGTATAGTCAACCGAACAAAAAGGTCACGTTTAAGCAATGAATTCGTCTGGGAAATTGTACTTATATTTCATATGAGTGTATATTGTACTGAATAACAGTGCGAATTCGAGTAAGTTATGCATCACCAATGAAAAAACGTAACTTACTAAAGATTGTACACATGTTATATAAGTAATTCGTATTAATTAATCAGGTCTTCGGCTGTGAATCAATCTTTAACATTTTATTATCAATTTAACAACAAAGGTACATATTATCGTTACCACTGTCTTTCGAATTGTTACTGAAAATAATGTAACCTTCATATATAATCGTTACGATTGATGAAACGATCAAGGTTAAATGAGAGTGACTTAAGACAGCACAGGGACAATAAGGCATTTTTATAGAGGTAAATAATAAAACAACAGATAATACAGAAACGTTATTTATCATAATACATATTTACTAATCAGCCAACTGACCTTGGGACTTGGCACGTTTCAATTCACTTTTGACAGTTGTAGTTCTTGATAATACATAGCGTGTTGTATAACCGGTACTAGGTGACTCACTCGATTGTGCAGCATCTGAATTTGAGTGGACGCTTTTCAAAGCTGTCTGATTGTTTATAATGCATGTATTAGCCAACGAAGTTGAGCCAGCTGAACTATTATTCTAATTCATAATATATTATTATGTATGCGAGAAAAGGAATATAAGTTAACCATTAACACATATTATGGGAAAAGTGAAAAGTGCAAGTCTTAGTAATTAACCAGTGGTAATAGCAGCTACTAATGTACATCAAATGAATACATAGAGATCAGCCATGTTTACTAAACCTATGCAAATGAGGACATTGTACGTAGAGAACCAGCGAGAATACTGAAACACTTACACATAGAAAATCTAATATTACCACAAAAAGGAGTAAAATATAAACAACAGTTCTAATATGAGATATAGTATACATAAATTCAAGCAATATAATAAAAACTCACTCACAAACAGCTACTAAGGGACTAGTAGTTTTCAGCTGACTGAAGTTCTTAACCTCAGGCAACAAATAAGATTATCACGATGGTGATGACGTGCGAGTCAGTGTTGACGAGAAATCTTTCTAAATTTATATGATCCGTTCAGGTTATCATTATTATCAACTTTAAGTTCATTAATTCTGACTTTTAGTAGTGAATTAATAACTTTAACATCTGTATAATAATATTTTGTAATTATTCGATGACGTTTATCAATAGAACTATTTGCTTTTGATAACAAACATTTTTGGGTACTTTGGAAAATATCTATTCTTGATTGGCGTTTCTTGTGAGTATCAGTGAAATCATTACGATGATTAATTGAGGTGAATGCCCCTGAAACTAGATATGACACTGAATCTTCCATAGGATTGTTGCTAAAAGACTGGTCAAGTATCGAAGGAGATATATTTCCAGAGAATATGATTGGTCCTGAATAGAAGCTCTACGAGATGATTGAGCAATAACAACATTGAAAGAATACTAGAAATTTAACGACATACACGACAATAACATAAGAAAACAAATACAAGACAACATATGTATTCAAGATAGACAGCACTCAATTAACAACTACAGATAAACATTTTATATAAAAGTAGTAAAATAAAATTAGGAGGGAACATGGTAAACACGTAAACAATAAACACACACTCAGATACACCTACGTAAACATATAATATAAGATTGAAATCAATGAATATAACTGATTCATTTATAAAGCAAAGAACTAAATTCATTGAAAAGATATGTTATTAATGTTAATCTCTTTAATTGAGTAGGCTAAACAAAATAAAGTGAGTGATATGAAATTTTTTCGTTGAAATATTCGTCACTTAAAGTTCATAACACCAAACACAGTAAACATAAAAAAGGAAGGAGACTTTAATGACTATTTTGATCTGCCTGTATCACCGACATGTTGTAAGGTAAAACTTCAGTAGACAAAAAAGATGCGAACATAGAAATTCTGAGCCAGAATGATAAATCCTCAACGCTACATGAATTATTTATTTGATTTTTCTGATAGGATGTTCCACAGACGCGTCAAGGATCATCACATGTGTAAATTGGGTGATACAGTAAATCGTGTTAACTTTTTATTGTAATATTCAATTTAAAATAAGTGGTTATGATACAACTTTAAAAAGTAAAGAATGATCTGAATTATGTCAGTCAATGAGTTCAGAAACATTCGGATACAAGGATCATCCTCTACGAATAGTCACATATTAACTTTAAAGTTCTAAAGTGTTTCCTCGAGAATGAATGGTGTCAACATGTCATAGTCAACTAACTACAGTTTATACATAAACCATATTTTTTATTGAAAAGAATGACGGGTAGAAAGGCTTGTAATGTATAAATTTATATGAATGGAGCCTTTAGTAGAGTAATTTCATTATAGCAGTAAAATGACAGATGAATTAGCAAAATTTCAAACGAACTACGGGTCTTAAGTTATCTCTGATCTTCTGTATGGTTGTCTCATTCGAACACAAACTAAATTAACGTTATAGTACAATGGATATTGGCAACTGACAAAGTTGTAAGCAAACGTTTGCAGTTTGACAAAACTGTCAGCATTTTTAGCAACTTATTCATAATTATTTCAAATCAACTACCGACACTCAAGGTCTGGGGGCGAAGTCGTACTGCTGGCTGTAGAGGGATGTGACAGCAGTAAGGTGTTTCCCTCGGACAACCAGCATCTGCGGCGATGCTGCCTTCCCACAAGAAGGGGAGTATCGGTATATCGGAATCCGGCTTCCTGAAAAATCCCTTTCATAGCTGCCACCGTGACGCGGTGATCGGGCTTGCCTATCGTGATGACCCAACCGAGCTATATTGGCTGGAACATATGTTCCTGTAGGTTCTACCATGCCAGACAGGTCGGATGGAGAACGGTAAGACTAAAAGCAGCAACTCAAGGTCTGAGGGCAAAGTCGTACTGCTGACTGTAGAGGGGTGTGACAGCAGTAAGGTGTTTCCCTCGGACAACCAGCATCTGCGGCGATGTTGCCTTCCCACAAGAAGGGGTGGAATTAGAAAAGGTTGACCCTAAAAATCTCACACCTCAAAGTACCTCACGGATTTCCGTCTCCGGCGGTAAGTCCCTTTGAAGAACAAAGCTAACACATTAAAAACCTTCCACAAAAAGGCCGTGCGCGACCGGCCTCAAGCAGTTGGCCCTTTGGGCTCTACGATCACGCTCCTAGGTCGTCAAGACCAACACTAATCCAATTTCCTTTTCACGTTCCTGAAGTAATACCCTTCCACGGTATGGGCAGCCGGGAAGTGATATCAGCCCTCATACCCGTAACAATTCACTAAGCCAAGTTGGTCACATTCAAATCCTTCCTATACCTCCAAATAAATTTCTTATCTTCATGACTAACCCTTCTCACGTCTCTTTATCACCTCGCACCGCTAGGGCAAACGATTCGAGTACGCGGAACGCTATTCTTGGTCTCCTGAAACCACGATCTAAACTACACGTAGGAGCTTTTAACGTACGAACACTTTGCCAAATAGGACAGCAGGCTTCCTTAGCTAGGACTTTAGAATCTCGCGCCATCGATGTGTGCTGCGTCTCCGAAACTCACATACAGGATCCGAGTAGCGTCATTCATCTGACCTCACCATGCCAAAATAAAGAACCGACTCGATTTACACTTCGTGTATCTGGAAGTCCTGATTCTGCTTCCCGTGGCCTCGCCGGCGTAGGTATAGCATTGAGTCCCAGAGCAGAATTAACTCTCTTAGAGTGGATCCCAGTAGACAGTCGTTTGTGCGCTGTCCGACTGAAAGGAACAGTAAGGATCCGAAAAGATAGGGACACTCGTCGTTGCCTCTTCGTCATCTCTGCCTATTCTCCCACTGACTGCAGCTCAGATGATGTAAAAGATGAGTTTTACAGAAAGCTTTCGGACCTTCTCCGAAAAGCTAGGCGCTCTGATCTAGTAATAGTGGCCGGTGACTTTAATGCTCAAGTAGGTAAACTAAGCGATAGGGAAAGACACCTAGGTGGATCTTATGTTGTCGTGGCTCAAAGAACAGATAATGGCAACCGTCTGTTGCAGCTATGCTCAGATAACCGCCTCTTTCTTGCAAATACTAACTTTAAGCATAAGGAAAAACATATTTTAACATGGCGACCCCCTAATTCGTCCTAACGTTGGACCCAAATAGATCACATCGCTATCAGCCATCGATGGAGGGGCTCGATAGAAGACTGTCGCTCATTCTGAGGCACATGCCTAGATTCAGATCATGCTCTAGTGCGAGCGCGTATTTGCTTGAGTCTTACTGGACGTAGGAAAGACGCTGCAAGGAAACCTCTTAGGGCCCTACTTAATGATAGTCAAGCTAAGAGTATATTTCAGGAACAACTAGGAATACAGGCAGCCATGTATGTGATGCCCACCCTGAGGCAGCATGGAATGATATCCGAAAAGCTGTGGAAACAGCAGTGATATCTGCTAGTAAGGTAAACCAGAAGGTTAGGGAGCAACACTGGATCTCAGCAGCATCTATCGCACTGATAGATGCTCGGAAACTCATTCCACCTGGCTCTGAACATAATGAAGATCGGAGTCAGCTTAAGCGCAAGCTGACAAGAAGTCTACGCAATGATCGTGAACAGTGGTGGGTAGCGAAAACAAGAGAGATGGAAAAGGCAGCGACTATAGGTAATAGCAGACAATTGTTCAGACTCGTTAAGGAAACCGGTATTAGGAAATCGACCGTTAGCGAAACAATCTCAGAGAAAGATGAACATATTATTCATTCTCAATCCAGGAGATTGGATCGATGGGCAGAACACTTCAGGGATCAGTTCAACTGGCCTTCAGCCACACTTCGGTTTCCCACGATCTCTAGTCAACCTGAATGGCAAGTTAATGTAGGTCCTCCGTCCCTTTACGAAGTTGAAAAAGCCATAGGAAATCTGAAAAGAGGGAGAGCAGCAGGCCCTGACAGGTTTACTCCCGAGATTTTTAAGGATGGTGGTCCAGTATTAACAATGAGATTAACTGAGGTCTTAGGTAGAATTTGGGAACTGGACGTAATCCCATATGACTGGTCTCAATCACTGATTGTGCCAGTCTATAAGAAAGGACAAAAGTCCTCTTGTGACAATCACAGAGGAATCAGTTTGACTAATATAGTGTCTAAAATATTAGCTTCAATAATACTTCGACACCTAATCAAAGCTCGTGAAGAGCAGACTAGAGAAAATCAGGCCGGTTTTCGACCTGGACGTGGTTGTATAGATCAGATATTCACACTACGCCAGGTTCTAGAACACAGCCACACATTCAGACGCCCCACAATGGTAGTATTTCTCGACCTTAAGGCGGCATTCGACTCTGTCGATCGTGAGGTTCTATGGTAGTGTTTGTCACTGAAAAGAGTACCAAAGAAGTACATTAACCTTATAAAGGCTCTCTACTCGAACACAACTGGTAGAGTAAGAGCTTATGGCGAACTGTCATCAGAATTGATTACCTCAAGTGGTGTTCGTCAGGGCTGTCCTCTCTCCCCATTCTTGTTCAACTTTGTCGTCGACGTACTTTTAGAGATAACACTCTCCTCATCTAAATTTTCAGGGGTTGAACTTCTACCACGAGATTCACTTGTTGACTTACAATATGCTGATGACATAGTTTTATTTGGTGAAGACGCTGACAAAATGCAGAGTCTTCTGACCACTCTGAGCAACAATGCAAGCATGTTCGGGATGCAACTCTTCCCCTCGAAATGCAAAATGTTGCTTCAGGATTGGGTTACATTGACACCCGAACTAGTGATAGAGAGTGAAGTAGTTGAGTGTGTCGACCACTTCACTAATCTTGGAAGTCTCATCAGCCCTTGTGGTCTGGTGTGTGACGAAATCTCAACACGGATACAGAAGGCTCGACTAGCTTTTGCCAACTTGCGTTATTTATGGCGTACGCGAGATATCCGTCTATCAACCAAAGGACGGGTTTACTGCGCAGCAGTTCTTTCCGTCCTACTTTATGGCAGTGAAACATGGCCGGTAAGAGTAGAGGATATTCGTAGGTTACTAGTATTTGATCATAGGTGTCTTCGAAATATTGCCCGTATATCTTGGGACCATCGAGTAAGTAATGCAGTTGTTAGGAAACGGGTACTAGGTAAGGATGGCAAATCAATTGATGAAGTAGTGAAACTTCATCAGTTGAGGTGGCTGGGACATGTGTTACGTATACCCAACCACCGACTTCCTGGACGTGCGATGTTCAGTGGTATAGAAATAGATTGGAAGAAAGCTAGGGGCGGCCAGACTAAAACATGGCACAAGTCCATGAAGTCACTGACAAGTAGACTGAGTCATGTTGGTAGGTGTATATTAGGATATACCAATAATTATCGTGTTAAGTCTATGGTGGCCTTGGACCTTAAATGTACATTTCCTATTGGTCGATGTTTATTTCACTTGGTATATAAATAGAGTATGTCTGAAATACAATGATTCATAACTCAGAGGCTGTGACTTGTGTTCTTGACTCAACTGGCTAGGACAGACAGCGAGGCAGGGCCAATCAGGGCACTAGGTCGTCCTTACGTGTTTACGTGTCCACTGTAACCGGTCGATATAACGCTGCTTATCAAAACCTGCAGTCACACCCGTTACAGCAATGTAGACTACCTGGTTGAGGACCGCGAGATGATAGCAACCGATGGTTAGAGACCCTGAATGACATGGTTCAAAATTGTTTGCAATGGCACAGGTGCATAAAATCTTTGTGTTCTCCCAGATTTTGATCTCCTTATTCCTCCTTGTCTCAATTTTTTTCTCTTCCCAAATTTATTTCACTGTATTATAGTCTTAAGGTAACATCTCCAAACACTAATCTTCCCGATTACTGCTTATACTCTTATTACCTCTACCATTACGTGATTTGAATCGACAACTGCATCTCTGTGCTAATGTGGAGTGGCAACTCGAACTGATGCACGTACGTACGAAGTTCTACTTTGTTACTGACTGACTGAACTACCGACATTTATGGAATTAAAATTAAAATCTAAATATCTCATGGCGTGCAAGAAACTATCATGTTCCTTCGAATCCAGGCTAGATGATACTTAACAAAACTAATAATGCACTAAAAAACATTCGATTTCAATACTACCACTTAGCAAATCCTGTTTGCTAGTAGAAAACTAGCACGAACATCTCAACAATGGGTTTACTGACACATTTGCTAAATTCCACTTTTCCGCCAAAAATCTAGGTACTTGAATAAGGTAAATAGTTCAAAATTCAAAAAGGCTTTCATTTGGTTTTCAGTTATTTCTTCATTAGAATCTTTTGAAAAAAAACTTATAGTCATGATTTTCGTTAAACATGCTAACAAAAAATGGAAAACTGATCAAATAAAATCTTTTTCTAGGATGAATCATAAATAGAAAAAATACTGTATGCTAAAAGATAAACATGTGCACATCTTAAACTGCAGAATATGCACTCAATATTTATGTTTTTATGCGAATATTTAAACTAATTAACCTGATATAAATGAATCGGGTTGATTTATAATTGAACCTCCACATGAGACTAGCATGAACAAAAGGAAGTTAACATTTTCGATCACCGTTTTATTAGAGCTAAATTTTATAGAAAAAAGCCTGTTTGAAATGAAAACGAAAATAATACATCTGTATAGACAGGTACAGAAAAAATTTCTCCTAAATCTGAAATGATCGCTTTGGTATTCATCGTTTCATTACATATAAACGTTTTTTCAGAAATGGTTAAACACAAAAATCATATGGTAATGGGAGTTCAACTAACGAAGATATAATTAACTACCTGATCACAGAATTTCACTTCACCAGAAGCAGACGACCCAGTTAAATTGATAGGACCACGACCTGATGGAGTTAATTAATAAGCGAAAATAAATACTTATAGTAATAGTAGAACTGATAAAAATCATATAAACTGTTTATTTGATAATATTGACAACACTTTTCACTTGTTATGATAATAACCAGAAATATATAACTACAATTATTGACGAAATGATTTAATTACCTAACTGAATCTCAATTAAATAAAACAATGATTATTTGATGACCTGGAGGAGGTCACACGAGGTCTTAATGTATGAAGTAGCGCGTGGTTTTAAAAAACTAATAACATAGACGCGTTGTTAACAAAAATCAAACAAAAACATTCACAAAGTACAATCAATGATATATTCAGTCAGTCAGCCACCACATCTTACCAGACACATATATGCATCGGTCCAAGTCGCCATACCTCATTAGTACAACAAGATGAACACCAAATTCATAGAAGTAGTTGATTCAGGTGGTGGTTATATATAATAGAAAGATTGCATATAAGAACATAGTACAGGAAGAAAGAATTAGTTCGTAGAAAGAAAGAAATTGAGTAATTTTAATCTCACGGTTTGAATGAAGACAGAGAGTGTATACACCGACGCCATTGTGATCGATTCTGAGCCATATCACAAAGAGTCTCTAACCATTGGTTACGATAGTCACGCGGACCCCGACTAAGTAGTCCGCATCTAACAACATGGTTCAGACCAGAAGTTAGTGACTTCAAGCACTGATGACACGTTTCGGTTCGGTCGCCCCTAACATTCTTCCATACGTCTACAACACTGCTCGTCGTGGTATACGGTGTTCAGGCATACGCAACACATGGCCCAACCATCTCAGTCAATGAAGATTTACAACGTCATCAACTAATTTGCCATCATTCCCTAATACCCTGCGTCTAACCTCAGTATTATTTACCCGGTGATCCTAGCAGAAGCCAGCAATGTTTCTAAGGCATCTGTGGTCGAATGCTAGTAGCTTACGAGTATGTTCAACTCTGAATGGCCATGTTTCAGAGCCGTAAAGTAGAACAGAACGAACTGCCGCGCAGTATACAGTTGTTCCAGCCAGTATACCTGGATTAGCTCATCACGACAGACAAGCTCGACCATCACGTTAAGGTAGCAACAACCGTTGAGACGAAACGATACATTGGTTTAAATATGTGTCGAATGAACAGTGTCAAACTAATCGACCCCCCAAAAAATAAAATGATGAACAAAGAAGTTTAATAGAAGATTATCCAGCCAAAAGCATTTCCCTGAGGAATATTATCTTATTTAAAGGTTAATATCATTTATCTAGAAATAAGCCCGCAAATGCCCTGATATGGCCAAGAGTGGGGTGGGCCCTCCGCCCCTCTCGAAATGCTCTCACATGGCCAAGTGTATACAGCCTCTGCCAGGGAAGTCCTACTCACTGTCTTCTAGTGGCGAAGGTGTTGTTTACGAAAATGAGAGGACGAAAAGCGAATGTCCGGCGCTTTAACCGGATTCCAAACCAATGGTGCACATGGGCTCCAGTATCCTGAGGGAACAAATGGCGTGTGAACCAACCGTTGGTCACCGGCTACTATGGGATTGCATCTCCTCACGATGCTCCACTGCCTTGAGGGTAAGACCTTTAGGTCAAAGGCTCGGGGAGTGGCCCCCTAAGAAAACCACTTGCTTCGGTCTGGGCACCCGGGTAGTATCACAGCACACACACAAATGAAATAAAAATGACGATATTTACTGAAAATTCTAACAATCAAACAATTCACATTATTATTATTATTATTATTATTATTATTATTATTATTATTATTATTATTATTATTATTATTATTTACGTCATTTATTCACTCTCTTTTATTCCCACTTTATATATCCTTACTTTTCGACTTATAGAGCAGCTAGCTTATGGTGGAAACTCGGTTCTATCTAAACGTTCTGGAGTCACTGTCCGGTTGAAAATTGTATGTTACCATCGAATATGAGTACTGAAGCAGTTCTTCTGAAACCACGTGCACCATTCAAACTGGCTGCCTTCAACGTTCGCACATTTATGCACGTCGGACAATAGATCGGGCTGGCTATGTCTTTGGAAAGTCTTAGTATTGACGTTTGCTGTCTATCCGAGACACGTATTCAAGACTCTGATGAAGCACTACAAATTCGCTCTCCATCTGTCCGCCAATAAGCTTGTTTTACGTGCGCTTATCCGGGGACCCTGTGGCATCTTCGTCTGGTCTTGCTGGAGTTGGTGTCGGACTAAGCGCCAGAGCTGAGGCAGCACTAATCGACTGAATCCTTATTAACAGTCGGTTATGTGCTGTTAGATTAGAAAGTTCCATCAAAGTGAGAAGGAATCGGCGTGAGAAACGATGTCTTTTCGTCATCTCCGCCTATGCCTCGACAGATTGCAGCCCGGATGCAATCAAGGATGAGTTTTACCACCAGTTATCTGTTCTTCTCCAGAAAGTGCGTTCGACAGATATTGTAGTACTAGCCGGAGACTTGAATGCTCAGGTCGGGCGTCTAGGCACAGAAGAGAGTCGTTTAGGTGGCCGATGGGGACTTCTTGGTCGCAGGTCAGATAATGGGAACGGTCTACCGCAACTGTGCAGAGACCACAACCTGTTTCTGACTAGCAATAACTATCGGCACAGTTATCGCCGATGTGCCACCTGGCGTCCTCCCTCTGCATCCCAAGCCTGGACTCAGATTGATCACATCGCGATCAGCTACCGCTGGCGTGGTTGTGTACAAGTCTAGTGTGAGTGAAACAATCTGTGAGGATGACGGGATACCAATCACTAACATCCGTCGACGTCTTGCACGATAAGAAGAACTCTTCGAAGGGCAGTTCAACTGGCCTGCTGCTCTGGCAACATCGGTCAGACTGTCCTGCCCTCCATGGCCGGTGACGACTGATCTACTAAATGACGAGGAAGTCCGCAAAGAACTCCAACTCTTGAAGCGTTACAAATCACCTGGCCCAGATGACTTACCTCCGGCTCTTTTTAAACATGGTGGTGACTTTCTGACTAAGGAATTGACGACGTTGTTCACAAAGGTTTGGGAGCTAGAGAGTGTACCAACGTCATGGAATGAGTCGATAGTTGTCCCTATCTTTAAAAAGGGTTCACGTCGTTCCTGTAACAACTATCGGGGGATAAGTCTACTTGCGATTGCGTCCAAGCTATTGGCTTCCGTTATACTTCATAGGTTGTTCAAAACCTGAGAAAGATTGACTCGAGAAGAGCAGGCTGGGTTTCGTTCTGGTCGAGGATGTATTGATCATATGTTCACCCTCCGCCAAATGTTAGAACACCGCCATACTTATCAAAGGCCAACAATCGTAGTGTTTCTTGACATCAGGGCTGCCTTCGATTCGTTGGACAGGACTGTTCTCTGGGATTGTCTATTGAAGAAGGGTGTGCCTGAGAAGCTTATTAACATACTAAAAGCCCTATATAAAAACACCTCAGACAGAGTAAGGGAATACAACCACATCTCTCCATTGTTCCATTCAAGCAGTGAGGTTAGACAAGGTTGCCCAATCTCACCATTCCTCTTCAACTTTGCCATCGATGACATTCTGGAAACAGCTCTGATAGATGTAAGTAATAGTGGTGTGGATCTGTTGCCTGGAGAAAGTCTTCTTGACCTTGAGTATGCGGATGCTATTGTCTTACTGTGCGATAATGCCCAAGGCATGCAATCCTCACTTAACCAGTTGGCAATCAGTGTCCGTAGGTACGGTATGTGCTTTGCACATCCGAAGCACAAAGTACTTCTACAAAGCTGGCATTCATCCTGGGTAGTGAAGTTTGTGTATCTGGGTAGCTGAGTAAGTGTTGGTGGTGGCGTGAGAGATAAGACCAATTTACGTATAGTGAAAGCCAGAGCGGCTTATGCCAATCTGGGCCACCATTGGCGCCTTCGTGATGTCAGTTTGGCTGTAAAAGGTTGGAACTACAACGCGTCAATGAGATCAGTTATTATTTTACACTACCCTACACTAATCTGGTCGTTATTGTTCTTTTTCCTCTTTTACGCTTCTTACCTTCCTTTTTTCTCCCTTCCCATTCTCATTGTTTTGTGTGGCGCATATATATTTGGTGCCCCCTTGTACCAATATGTGTTCAAATAAATAAATAATGAATAAATAATTTAGAAAGAAAGAGTTAGTAATCTAGTACTCTTGAGAGTGATTGAAGAGAATGAGACTATAAAACAGTGGCTGTGTTCTTATTTGATGAACAAATGTTCAGAATAATGGAGTTTTAATGAAATCGTTAAGATTGAAGAATAAGAAGACTGAATCTATTGCAGAGCCACTAATAACATAAGTTTAATAAAAAATGAAATCAATAAGTAAATGTATAGGTACCATATTCCGCTATCAAACTGCAAAAAAATACTTGCTGCCACAGAGACATAAAAAGGTTGTCATCTCAGGTATAGACTACGTAAAATTAACTAATAACGTCTAACTGCTTAGACAAAAAGGTCAGTTAAATATGTGTACTACTTGTTCAAGAGTAGTCAGTAATAATGCACGTTTATTGTAAAGAATACTATTTGAAAAAACAAAAATCAGATAAGACGAAAAGCAAATTCAGACAATTAAAAAAAGGGAACTCCCTCTAGAAACAAACACTGACAAAAGTGGAGACAGCAATTTTTTATTCATTTTGTTCATGCTAGTGATAATTACTAGTTTAACTTCAAAAATCCACCAAAAGAGATAAAGGGAAATGGTTGGAGAAGAAAGTATTGTAGCATCAATATTCATCGTCTAACAACAAGGTTTGACTGTAATTAAACCGGTCAAATGTATCGATGAGATTAAGAAGTAGTTAGCATTAAGTAGACAAAATGGGGTATCATAAATAATGTAATAAAATTGAGATATCGATGAATTAGATTGTAATGCGTGTTGTTACATTGTCCAAAAGTATAATGATGGAGTACTGAAACCGATTCTTTACAAATAAACAATACACGTTCATAACCTAACTACCTTCGCCCGATTTCATTATTACTAATCATCGATAAAAGTATGAATCCAAGGAGTCCAAGACTATGGACTTAACAACTTTCCAGTTGCCTTTTGATATCAAATGATGTTACTTCATGAGAACAAGCTGTAAATTAAACAATAATTTCGACAATTCTCCAATAATAAAAAACAGATATTTAGAAAATAATGGATAGTATAGTTAAAAATTTAAAAAACTCACTTAATAAGTCAGAAGATGAAATAGACAGCAAGCAAATCTTGTGAACATAATCCACAACAGCAATGCCGAATTCGCTTCCAATAGCCATTCTAAAAACAAGTAATAGTTCCGCTGTTAGAATGATAACTAAAACGATTGTAAGTAAATTGAAATAACCTTTTGTAAATGATGACTAAAAAATGATGTAAAAAAATAAGATGAGCATTTAAAATGTACCACAATAGCTTGATATTTATGATAAGCCTAAATGAACTGTTATTATGAACATAAGCAGTCTGTCAGGTGTGATTTAAAAGGCTTATATTCTATCCCGACGAGTTACAGTACCATACACATTTGATGAGGCACATGATAAATTAAATGAGGAAAAACTTTTCTAAACATGAACGAATATTATTTTCTCTGAATGATTGTGAGCTGGATTTCAAAGGTTTAAACACATTAGAGGCTAGAGAAAAGATTATGACCCAACGTTTCACAAGATAACCATGAACAGTTTAATCGACAGAATGAAACTGGTGTGTACTCTCAAGCAACTTGACTAAAAATTTGAAACAAATAACTCAGTCAGCCTAGATGATCAGATTTATACGGTTCAGCAGATTTAAATTAGACTTCTTTTTTGCGTAAATTCAGGACGCAGTTAATGAACAGGTACCGTGATTAGGTTGTACCATTAGAGCTACGAAAGGTAATTTCGTCTAAACAATTGAAACAGGATGAGAAGTAGAGATTTTCTCACAAACAGATGGTAGAATGATCGAAAAAACGGACATTTTCCACCTAGAAATAATTTGTGTTCGACGATCTAGTTAAAAAGTAAACAAAGAACTATAATTAGGAAGTTTGAAACTTACAAACTAAAAGCTGAACTCATACTAATAGCTGTAATAGATGGCGGAGGGATGAGACAGGAAGCTGTAGGATCGGTACTTGACTTTATATTTGACTCAAAGCTTAGTCCAAGTATGCCTACACGACAAACAAGAAGTGGTTGGTAGCCTGGAGGCCAATGATGGCTACCTTGACGTACTGGAACGAATACACGTAAATCCTATTCAAGGAAGAAAGAATGTCGAATACTCTTTTAATACTACACATGATAAAAGAATAAACTTTGTGGAGATCACTAGTTTCACAATAAAGAAATGTTATTTAATCTTACAATAAGAAAGCAATAATTTGACCCTGAGGAAAATATAACAATTGTTCAGTAGTTCACGTTTGCCGGCTCTGCTTTAAATGATACACAACAACAATTCCACGTTGATACTCTACACGCAAATATATGGTTGAGAAAGCAAGACTTTAAGAATAGTTTTGTTCCGAACATAAGGCAAAAATTAAAGTGAAGCAACCCAGTTTATATAGCAACATCAAGCCAAATTAAGAAAATAAAATGGTCAAATTGAAAATCATAATGGCCAATAAATCCGATAACACTAAATGTCATCGCAGAAATATGAGTTAGTAAAATGTGACCGAAGAGATCGTTTAAAGAAATAAAAATTTAAAAAAAACTAGATAATCTTAGTTTTTTAAAAGAATATTAAATGAAGAATTTCATGTAAATATAACGGAAATGAAAAGGACAAATAAAATCAATAAATGTGTATGAAGATAAAAAGAATGGAAGCTATGTAAATAATATAATGTGACTTGTATAACACATCAGCTGATTTTATAGGTCATCGAGTTAACAATCGACGAATGTCCTAAATGTTGCTGTTCAGAGTTTAATTATGACAAACTCTAGTCAGCAACTTGATCGTTTCTAAGAGTTCGTGTTAATAGAGCTTAAGAGTTCCTCAGAAAACTCTTCAGAAGTTGAGAAAAGGCTGGAAATACTTGTCCAATCAATCGAAATGAGCTTCCCATGAAAAAAAACGACGGATTATGTGTTATATCCTGAGTGGATAAATACCGACTTTATTACTAACTGTAGCATGTTCCCAAAATACCAGGTTCATATCTAAACCTATTAATGTGCTGAAGTAAATTCCAGAGTAAAGCTTCTTTACATACTAAAAGTATTTTGTTTCTTTGTTCGGAGCTCAGCTTAAGTTTCAGAGATGTTTGTGGAAGTAGGAAGCGCATACAAGTCAATGTCAAGCGTTGAGATAAGAGAAATATCAGGTTGTTAAAAAGTAAACATAAACGGCTTAGTTGTTGAATAATCAGTTACCTTCTCCATTGAATTTCGACTGACAGGTATGAGTAAAACTAGTCAGAATGCTAGTAATATCTTTCATTTTTCTCGATATAACCGATGAGCTGAACTGAAAACTTGAATAAAAACTGGTTATATTAGTTATTAAACTTGTGGACTACTTATGCAGAAGTTGAAATAACAAATACTTGATAAAGAAAAATTACGCTAGTTACAGTAAGACAATAGAACGAAAGCGATAACATTTAGACCAACAGAACGTAGGACATAATTTATTGTGATATAAATATACAGAAAACATGAAATTTCGATCAGCGTATTTCTTAGGATAGATATATCAAAATAAAAACAATCTACGTATCGTCATGATTGTCCCTAAATGTCTTGTTAAATGCTTGCATGAAAGCATACGCATAAAGATATGAGACAATAGGTATTGATAAACACTAGTCACAGATGTCAAGAATATATAACCGCTAAACAAACAATAAAAACCACAAAAAGAATACTGATAATAATTTTTGATAATCATCCAGAAAACAATTTGTTTCGGTCACAGCTTATTCATTTTTTTTATACTTTTGTTCTTTATATTCATATTGATAACGTGGATATCACTCTGTTTGATCAGTACTCACATGGAACCCAGTGAGCAGCTGCTATGTCCATTTAGCCTAGAAAGAAAATTCCCACCAAAAACCATTCTTGCAACCAGTTTATTAACTGAATTCTCAATCACATGTTTTAATACATCTAAATGGTGCGCATCTTCCAATTTAAAAAAAACGAACATATGCAAACAGTTTCTAAGTGCATTGAATGTCACAAAATAAGTACATTTACCATTCATCTGTGGGAAACAAGAAACATGATTACTTCAAATAATCACAAATGTGCTGATGGGAAACGAAATAAAATCTATCTAATGGAATACAACAGAACTTCTACTAAGTAAGCTTTTAACAGTTCATGAATAACTTATCAGATTTCAAAAGGAAAAAAGTTTGGATTAGCTGCATATTTATTGATCTTTCCATCAGAAAAATTACATCAGATATTTTTGACGGTGCGAAATTTGAAATAAATGAAGATCAAATAATCAGAAGGAAAGTTAGTAGATCTAGTATATAATACGGGAAATTCGGTTAGGAATAGAACTCCGTAATAAGAATCTATTGTCACAACTCTATATACACATCACTAAACGTTTAGACAAATTAGCGAAATGAAAAGAACTAATAAAAAAAACAACGCTTCAAGAAAAATTAAATAGGTCAGTTTAGTCACGCAATGAATGCATGCAAGAAGATACTGTGAAAGTTGTAGGACATTTTAAGTCGTAAATATTTTTCACAATCAATTCAAACCACTGTAAAGCACGGTAATCAATTTGCACAGAAAATAAAGAAACCTACATACAGTAATAAAAGGTTGAAAACAAAGTATACAAAGTTTTTATCAAGAGAAGATTGAAGAACAATTTTAAACAGTAGAAAATTGAAAACTATAAAATAGTTATCCATTACAGAGTGTTTGGTTCAAAAATGTTGTTTAGCTGATACAAAGTTAGTGTTTTCGTTTAATACAAATCGCAGTTTGCAACAGTCTGGGAATTCGAAAAACTTTAGGTGAATGGAAAGAAAGATGATCAGACGAATATCTGGCTTAAACTTCGTATGTTATTGTTAAAGACTGGGTAACATGCGTCAAAATCAATTATGGTGGAACCAGCTGAGATGGGTATCATTACCAAGGTTTGACTTGGTAGTTTTAAAGGAATTGAGCATTGGGTAGATTATTATCCATAACTATAATATATTTATATACAAAGGTTCCTTTGTACTATTTAATTATTTTTATTTGGTTATTTATTCTTTGAAGAAGTGTTTTACACTGAGTTACGAAACGTCAGAAAATTTAATGTTTCTACTCATTGAGATATTACAAATATATTATTTTTATTTACAGCTGCGATAGTTTGCTATCTTCCTCCAAAAATATTCAGTTTAATTTCGTTGCATTTTTGTCACTATTCGGTTTTATTTGTTCCGTGTGAACTCTAATTAAAACACGAATTTCAGCGAAGGGATCTCTTTTCAAGGAATTTATTATCAAGCTGTACAATCGTATATATATGAAAATTTTGTTTTTGTAAAAGTACTAATTCCGATTGTACAGCTTGATAATAAATTCGTTGAAAAGAGATCCCTTCGCTGAAATTCGTGTTTTAATTTTAATGTTTAAATGGGAATTATCTGTCAATTGAACTCTAATTCTCGTGTATAGGCTTCCTACCTCAGTTGGTATTATTTCCCCTCTTATATTTATATTCATTTAGTCAGTTTCCTTCCTCATTGCGTAGATGTACGTTACAGAAAATTAGGGAGACAAACACTAGTGTCAGAACGAAGGTTGACTGTGACTCAATGTATTATCTAACGAAATGTAATTTTGTCTCAATTTGCTTGTGATAAATATAGTGTCTGACATACCCCCCCCCCCATTTTTCACAATTATCTAACACAAATCCCATTTTCAATAAGTACTCTTCAGGAGATGAAAGTGATATGATATGATACATGAGGGAATTCAACACAACTGACAATCATTAATTATGTAACCATGTATCCGCAATAAAAGCGTTAAAACTTAACAAAATGTTCAATTTCTTCCTTTCATAATGAAGTAACGAATAAGTCAAAAATGGTTTGGTGACACAAAGTGAATTCATAAATAAAAATTATAATCCTTGCAAATGATATTTTTATACAGAACGTTTTTTCCATAATCTACTACATAGAATGGGTACGTACCCCAACCAGAGGCGATAGTATAGTTGATCTAATATTTAGTAGAGATGTCATCCCACTATCTGTAAAAGTATACCATGAATTTGAAAGCAAAGACCATAAGATAGTAGTTTGCGCTCTCCCTATCTATCCCTCTTATAATCGACCCATTCAAAAAACCTGTCAATAAAGAGACTATAAGCATGCTGACTGGGACCTCTTGGATTCACTGATTAAACATTCAGAATGGGATAACTTTTTTTTATGTAACAATCTCATGTATGCTATCGACGAATTCTATCTGATCGTTAACTTTTGTTTAGATTCTTGTGTACCTCTTAAAACGTACAGGTTTAGTCAACCTTACGAATTATATATGCCAGCTAAATATCTTAATAAGCTAAGACGCCTACAGAATCGTTATTTTAAGTCAAACGACTTCTCGGCAACTGCACAAATAACAATAATTTTTAATTAAATTAAAGAGAAGCATAGTTTAAAAGCCATTGATGAGGAGATACTAGCACTTAATACTAACTCAAAAGTACAGAAAATTAACTCTCCTTTTCAATAAACGCACTAAAGCAACTCAAAATGTTGATATACCATGCATCCAGCATAATAGCACTTTTATATACGACTCTAAAAAATATAGCAAACCTTTTCAGTGGTATATTTGCGAATGGTGTAGAAATCATAAGTGGCTCTGCTTCAAGAATTATGTGCGTGACTAGCAACTCAATAAAATCTATCTCCTACACATGCATGAAAATTAATAGGGCTATAATTATCCTTAAGCTTTCGAGAGGTCATGGAGCAGACGGAATTTTATCCTTTCTATACAAATATGGTGGTCCAGATATTCCACTTCTTCTTCTAAAGCTGTTTACTTTCTCTATGGAAACAGGTTCTTACCTTTACTGTTGGAAAACATCATAACACGTTACAAATCTGGAGATAAGACTGACATGAGCAATTATCGGCCGATCAATATTACTCCAGTTATCTCTAGGATTATGGAAAAAAGTATAAGTGATGAACTTTCCAACTATTTACTTGCTGGAAAATTTATCAATGATACTCAACATGGATTTCTTAAAAGTCGATCTTGTATGACATATCATTTTGACTTCTTTAATTTAGTTTATTCTCTACTTAGCCAAGGATATCTAGCCTTAGTGCTATATCTGGACATTTCTAAAGCCATCAATATGGTTAACCACCAACTTCTTATGGGTAAACTCGCATCTTATAGGGTTTAAAATCCTTTGCTAGCTTGGTTTGATTCCTTTCTCAGCAATCGACATCAAATAGTTAAAATTAACTCTTCATTGTCTAACGCTGTCCCTGTTAGGCGTGGTGTAATACAAGGTAGTGTCTTAGGCTCTTTGCTCTTTTTAGTGTTTATCACTGATATGTGTGAAAGATTTTGTGTGGGTAAGCCTCTTCTATATGCAGATGATCTTAAAGTAGTATATTCATTTTCTCCACATGAGCTGGAAAATATGCGAAATTGTATCAGTATTGAGCTTAACAAGGTAAAGCAGTGTCACTCATAATGGCAACTGGAGCTTAATGCGGCTAAATTTGGATGGACATGCTTCGGCAATACATCACTCAACTTAGATCTTACCATAAATGGTGAAGTGTTATCTAGGTTACATACAGCAGTAGACATAGGACTTAGGTACTCCCAAGACTTGTCGTTTACAGAACAGATATTGAAACAGGCCTCTAAGTCTCAACGTCTTATAGGTTACATAACTCGAAACCTTTACAACAATGAGTTACGTATTCTAATGTAAAAAGTTTGTGCTCGATCTCTTCTAGAATATTGCACGTTTATTCTTAGCGGTGCGCGCATAATGGATAAATTAAGACTTGAATTAGTACAGAGACGATTTACACTTCGTATTCTTGGAGCTGATTGTACCTTAACTTATAATTCTAGTTGTAATAAACTTGAGCTAGACCCTTTATGGAAGAGGAGACTCAAACTAAATCTTATCTTTTTCTTCAAACTACTTAATAAACTATCCTTTACACCCAATCTCGTGATTCAATATGCAGAAACTTCTCATTATGACATCCATAATTCCTTGGCACTAGTGAAACAAACTTATTCTAAATCATCTCTTTATATGAATTACTTTACCTGTAAATTTTCTAGACTCTGGAATAACCTACCACAATCTATCCGTACAATAAAATCACTCACATTATTTGTTCGCTGCATCGATGCATACTGCTCCTCTGAAAATGCATAGAAAGTTTTAGAACCTGTAAGTGTATCTCATTCCACAAGTGATATTATAGGAACTTTAAATGTTTAGCCACTTTTATTAGTACATTCCCTAAGTAAAACCACCTACTTGCTGTCACTTTATGTTAACACCGTCCCAAGTAACTTTAACTAATTTGAATAACATCTAACATCAACGTTATATCACTGTGTCACATGACATGCATTTTGGTAGACCTGATTGACATATTTTGGTAATTACTGCTTCGTTGTTCCGTGCTCTGTATTTTCATTTTAATTTCTCTAGTTGTAGAAATATATTATTAATTCGATCTGGCACACGAAATGACCTTTAATTACACCGTTCATAAATCAACAGGCTGTCCATTTAAGAAAAATTAAAAGTTGCCGGCTGATGCATTGGATCGCTGTAATACATGTACTACCTAAACAATCACTAAACTAGTATACCTAAAACTTTCTTCTATCACATGTTTGTTCTGTACATCTAATGTTACTATTTATATGAAATTGAACATGCCTGTAAACTGGCGTGAATTCTGTAATTATTATTTTCAGAATATATAAATTATTATTATTAATCCGTTGGATGATTAAGATGAAGTGTTGGTTATTGAAAGTTTTAATTTTACTGTTGGCATGACAGAAATACTTTTAAAAAAAACCAAATGCCTTTACATTGTTTACAAAACCCACCCTTTCTGTTGGAGATGCAGATTGATAAGAGCTAACACTCCCACTGGATACATGAGGTAATGACTGCTGGACAGTATCCTTAGTCACGTTACCGGATAAATTTTCAGCAGTATTCAGATGATCATCAGAGAAAGTATCACCAGCTGAATAGGCGAAACCAATATCATCTAATCCATCATAAGCCATATTGATATCCATAACCTGACATAAATAAAACAGATGAAAATGCGTATGAAAAACAAGAAAATAAACTTACGAGGTGTTCATCTCTGTGTGACGAAGAGTTTAAAATTGAACTCGTAAAAAACAGACTAGTAAAATAAAATGGTACAATATATTCACTGAACGGAAAGTTGAAATCATATTTTTATTATCGGAATGATATAAAACGTAAACAAAAAAAGCAGTGAACACGATGTGATACATGTTAGTGTAAAGATAAGTAATCACAAAAAAATGGCCAGAGGATTCCAAGTATGAAACAAAGGTTATGTAATCGTTAGTGAGATGATGAAGTGTGTGAAGGGTAATTATTTACTTGATAAATACAAGGAAAACGGATGAGTGGACAGGCGGCAATAAATATATATATATAATAAATCACAACGAAATCGGGATCATGAAAAATTATTGATTGGGCAAGTTGCCTTCGAATTGATGATTGATTCAGGAAGGAGATGATAATGTTGAGACTTATGTAAAAAAGTGAAAACAAATTGTCCTACTTCTTATCAGTACAGTCATTAAATCCACTGATATCGAAAAGTTGCTGGAAAAAATCAAGTGACTTAACAAAAACAAGATAAACTAATATTTTACGTTGAAATAATACACCACTTAAACGACACTTTTATGTCAATTATACATATAGATACGCAAAGAACCAATAAACATATTGGTATACAATTCATTAGTACATGTAGAAACTAACTAGGATTTTCATTTGTTAAGAGAAAATAAAGTCATTTGGCTACATAGACATGAAGAAACATGTATGTCCCAAAATTTATCGAAAATAACTATCACTTATGTAGTTCATGTGATTCTTTTCCTCGGGACGATAACGACTAATATGTTTCCTTCGTGTACGCTGAACAAATGAAACGATTAAATATGTGCACACTGATACATAGATTGAAAACAAATGGATATTTTAGAGATGCACTGGTATGATTAAAATGTCTTAGTGTTCAGATTACAAGCCAACTTCGATATTCATAACGCTGAACACAGTAATCTGAACTGTTGTGCATAACTCTGTTGACATCAATAATAATAATAATAATAATAAACCAATATTACTCCACACCAGTTTTTCGTGAAAATAAGTAAGTTTCCAAGGTATAATTAAATGAATACTCTTAATAAATTTAAAGCCAGAGAAGCAGCTATGAACTTGAGGTGTATAATAATTTTTAGATGATACAAAAGAGAAATAATGTACTCATTGATGATCAATATCTCTTTTGATGAATATTAACTGATGAAAGTAAAAATCGTAAAATCTATAACGCATTTGTTATCTATTAAGATAGAACTGCACAAAACCAAACATTCATGTCTATCATATGCTTTTGAGTTTTGATAAACAGTTCTAACGCAATTTAAAACAGATGAGTTTGCTTTAAACTGTACAGTGAGATCATGTGATAAGAATTTCAAATTCACCAGGGTATCGACATATTCTTATAATGCTTAAGCACCTGATAAAAATATGCATATTCACTCAGTCCACTTTTGTCTAATTTCCATTTTTCGTTATCAAATGAGTAAATCATGCGTGAAACAATGGTTTTTCATTTCATATTTAATCACATGAAGATTCTTTTGGTATTAGATAATATTTCTATTATCTTATATGACATAAAACGTTGAGGTGTGTTTATGTACTAATATTTTATATCACAGACAGAAGAATAAGGATACATATATTATATAAAAAAAAACATAATTCCCATACAGTAGAAAATTTAAAAACACAGGTTATCAGATAAGGTATACTTTGTCATGCTAATAGTACTTTTAGCTGAATGTAGACTACAAAACATCCTGAAGTCTAAATTGTATTTATAATTCATAAACCCGACTAGACAAGAAGAGGTGAATGACATAAAAACGAAATTTCAATCAAATTCTAAACACTACAGTACACATATGGAGTGGTTAAATTGTTTGATTCCATACCATTAAACTAATTTTGTGATAACGAACAATATCAATTCCAAGGCCTAAAAATAACTCAGTAACGTACAAAAACACACATGGACTGCACCGAACTAAATCGACCATATCTCCATCAATAAAAAGTTCAGAAGTACGATGGAGGACGTAAGACAAAGACAGGGGCTTATATAGCCTCAGATCACCACTTGCTGGTCGCCAAGATGAAATTGAAACTCAAGAAGCACTGGATAACAGGGCGGATAACATCATAAAATTTTATTACGGCCTTTCTTTGGGATACTGACAGACTCAACGAATTCAAGAAAGCCCTCAGCAATAGGTTCCCGGCCTTTCACGATTTACTTAATGTAGAAGAGACGACTATGGAGAACAATTGAAAGCGGATCAAGGAGGCAATCGCTTCAACATATCATGAGGTTCTGGGCCACAAGAAGCACCATCAGAAGGCATGGTTCACAGTTGATACACTGGATAAGATTAAAGAAAGGAGTGAAGTAGTTGAACGCGTTGACAACTTCACTTATCTTGGAAGTCTGATCAGCCCTAATGGGTTGGTGTCTGACGAAATCTCAGCACGGATTCGAAAAGCTCGTTTGGCTTTTGCCAACTTACGTCATCTTTGGCGAAGGCGAGATATCCGTCTATCGATAAAAGGGCGAGTATACTGCGCGGCAGTTCGTTCTGTTTTACTTTACGGCAGCGAAACATGGCCATTAAGAGTAGAAGACACTCGTAAGCTATTACTATTTGACCACAGATGCCTTAGAAATATTGCTGGCATCTGCTGGGATCACCGGGTAAGTAATAGTGAGGTTAGACGCAGGGTATTAGGGAATGATGGTAAATCAGTTGATGAGGTTATGAATCTTCATTGACTGAGATGGTTGGGCCACGTATTACGTATGCCTGAACACCGATTACCACGACGTGCAATGCTAACCGGGGTAGGGGATGGTTGGAAGAAAGTTAGGGGCGGCCAAACCAAAACGTGGCATCAGTGCCTGAAGTCACTAACTTCTGGTCTGAGCCATGTTGGTAGATGCAGACTACTTGGTTGGGGTCCGCGTGACTTTCGTAACCAATGGTTGGAGACTCTTGGTGACATGGCTCAGAATCGATCACAATGGCGTCGGTGTATACACTTCCTGTCTTCTTTTAAACTAAGAGACTAAAATCACTTCATTCTTTCTGTCTACGAACTAATTCTTTCTTCCTATACTATATCCTTATTGCAACCTTTGACCTAACCACTCCTATGAATCCGCTGTTCATCTTGCTGTGCTAATGAGGTATGGCAACCTGGACCGATGCACATATGTGCCTGGTCCTACGTTGTAGCTGACTGACTGACTGACTGACTGGGCTAAGCAGGAAGCATGAGCAATAAGGAATCTAGACTGCTGATACGGTTTTACGCGTCATTGATCCGATCGATAAGGCACTGCTCCCTAATTGGCAGTATCGTTACGTTATACAATAAACAGGGCACACATGTCACAAGTTATAACAGTAGACGCCCAAATTCGAGATGAACATGCCGGGTTCCTTAAAAATCGGTCGTGCACAGACCAAATTGCGACATTATGGATCATCGTTGAACAATCAGTTGAATCGAACTCGTTACTTTACATCAACTCCCTTGATTATGAGAAAGCATTTGGCAGTGTGGATAGGAGAACATTATGGGATCTTATTCGACACTATGGCGTACCTGAGAAAATCGTCAACATCATCCGGAATTCATACGACGGAATACAGTGCAAAGTCGTGCTTGGAGGACAGCTCACAGACTCATTCAGAGTAAAGACCGGTTTCAGGCAAGGTTGCTTACTCTCACCCTTTCTCTTTCTCCTGGTGATCGACTGGATCATGAAGACCTCAACAGCTGGAGGGAGCATGGAATAGAGTAGACAGCTAGGATTCAGCTGGACGATCTATACTTCACAGATCATATGGCTTTTCTATCGCACACGCAACAACAAATGCAGGAGAAAACGACCAGTGTAGCAGCAGTAGGTCTCAACAAACGTAAATGAAAAACCACGATTCTCCGATACAACATAGCATGGACCAATCAAATCACAATTGACGGAGAAGATTTGGAAGATGTAAAACACTTTATATCTGGGTAGCATCATTGATGAGCACGGTGGATCTGAAGCAGATATGAAGGCGCGGATCGGCAAAGCAAGAGCAGTATATCTACAATTGAAGAACATATGAAACTCGAAACAACTGTCAACCAACACCCAAGTCACAATTTTCAATACAAATGTCAAGACAGTTCTATTGTTTGGGGTGGAAACTTGGAGAACTACGAAAGCCATCATCCAAAAGATACAAGTGTTTAATAACAGTTGTCTACGCAAAATATTTCGGATCCGTTTGCCAGACATTATCAGTAACTACCTACTGTCGGTGAGAACAAGCCAGATTCCAGAGGAGTAGTAAGCTCTGGAAGTGGATAAAACACACATAGAGGAAAGCACCCAACTGTGTCATAAGACAAGCCCTCACTTAGAATCCTCAAGGCTAAAGGAGAACAGGAAGATCAAAGAACACATCATGCCGAGAAATGGAGACAGATATGAGAAGAATGAACAACAATTGGATAGAACTAGGAAGGAAGACCCAGGACAGAGTGGGTTGGAGAATGTTGGTCGATGGCCTATGCCCCATTGTGGGCAACAGGTGCAAGTAAGTAAGTAATATATATATTTGTAAATAAACTGTGAAAGTAGGATTAATAATATTATGAGAAATACTACTGTGTCGGGATCTAAAAGAGATGGTTACGTCAAGCACTTGAAGGTGACTCAAGTATTAATGTATCGAAACAAAGGACTAATTAGGCTAGCGGTCAAACTTAGTAATCATAAAACTTCATTATTAATAAAAACTCAGCATTCCAACTTCATAAAAAATGCAAAATGCATAGATAGGATTGGGTCACATTCCACTATTTCGCAATTTACACGTACACGGTGATATGCAAACACAGTTAGTAAGTAAGCAAC